AGGAAATAATCGCTGTTTACGGTGAAAATCATACGGAACCTATAAATACAAAATTTAGAGTTACTTATTAATAAAAAAAAGTGATACATAATAATACTTACCGCATCTTTTAACTTTGAGTAGTTACCCCACGATACATTTAGTGAGTTATGCGTAAAAAAAAGTACAACATTAAAAAAACTTGATAAAAAAATAACTACGACTTCTCAAATATGCATTGTTCTTGGTGTTTGTCGATTTGACGTGTTCGTGTAGAATAAAAATATGCACTTCGATACGAGATGGGAGTGAGTGATCAGCTTCGCGCTTCGTCTGCATTAACACCAGAGAAATATCCCTCCCTGCACGTCGAATATGGTTTTTTTTTGGGGGGGGGCCAAAAGCCGGAAATCTTTATGTCATCGCCCTATAGTACCGTATTTTAAACAACTTAAATTAGCAGATGCTACTATCACCATAGCAACTTCATCTTCGTAACTAAATCGTTTCAACTGTATTCGTAGTAATAATTTTTACGAACATAGAATTTTGATGCACTCACCAGTTGGCGTCATTGTACAGCGTTATGGATTTATCTGGAAGGATTATGTTTATTTATTTATTTTGTTTCTAAAAAAAAACATAACCACCGCATTTACAGCCGATTTTAAGATCAAGATACAACAATCTGATTTTTAAGACAAGAATCCACGTATCTCTTTTCTTCTGTTAAAATTCGTAGTATAATTCCACGTTCTCCTATGCGAATCGGCATTTGCTCTGTTCGAGTGTCACTTTGGATTTTTCAAGGTCACTGATGATGTTTCTTCGTACTTTTTAGCCTGGTCTGGCCTCTTTTTTGTGTTTGTGTTCAAAGTTACGGGACCTAACTCTCTCTCTCTCTCTCTCTCGTTTTTTTTTTTTTCAACTGATTCGTCTGTCTCCTTCGTCGAATCGTTCAGTAACACACCGCCTTCGTAAATCACCGAACGCCATTTTCTTTTAAACCATACATTTCGTTTTCTTGTATTTCCATTTCTTCAAACCAACCTGACCGGTTAATTATCTTCCTGCTCCTACCGAAATTTCGTCCTTTCGTCTCCGTCTCTCTCGATCGTCTGCGACTATCGATTATTTCTTGTCTGTCTCCCCGCGGTATTTAATTGTCTTCGTCCTTCTTCAGCGTCGAAGGTGCTCGACCCGACTGAATTAAATGGGCAATTCCTTCGCCTGGAATACTCGAGCGCTATAAAATCTGGAGGTCGTTGGACCTCGCGATTGGAGGTTACTGAAAACTGTGAAGCCTCACATCTCCGGAATGCCTCAGGTAGCTCAGGGCTGACCAGAACCTAGCATAAATGTGAAGGAACGTTTTATTAGTTAGATAAATGCAGGTTTTCTACGGACAAGAAGGGACTATGTAACTGCCGAACTCAGAAATTACAAAGCGAAGAGTCGTAATTCAGAAGCTGATAGTTGGTCAGGTGATCAGAACATTTCTCGCCGTATTCAAAACCAAAGGTTCACAAAACCCCACCCATAATCCCTATCCTGATCCATGTTAATTTTACATCTTATATATTTAAAGATCTATTTTAATAAGATGGTAAAGTTGCGTCATATTGTGATATAATAAGTATATATTGTTTAAATCTTGTCCGTCTAATCACAATAAATTCTTATTAAATATTAAAATATTACAATAATTAACATTTAAAATATTTAAAATATTAAATGATGTTCTTTATCGAAATATTCGATTTACATTAGACCATCATTTTTTGTGTTTCACTAATGTTTCTAATGTAATGTAAATCGAATATTTCGATAAAGAACATCATTTAATATTTTAAATATTTTAAATGTTAATTATTGTAATATTTGAATATTTAATAAGAATTTATTGTGATTAGACGGACAAGATTTAATATATATCTATTTTAATATTATACTCACATCTACGCCTAGATCTTACGAATGGTGTTAACCTTCTGTCGCCTATTCCATGCGTTCTACATGCCTGTCCTCATCCTCCTTCATTTGATCATCTTAATAAAACTGGAGAAAAGTACAAATTTTGAATATTTCATTACGCGGTTTTCTCAAGTCACCAGTTATGTAATAATTCTTTATGTCTAAACATTATCCCCAACATCCAGTTCTCAAACACCTTCAATATGTGTCTTTTTACCCCCCTTTGATCGTGAGAGATAAAGTTTAACGCCTATACAAAACAATAGGTAAAAATAATATTTCACTGTATTTTAATCTGTCAGTAGGAAATTAGTCTAGCAAACTGAATATAATTTATCGTAACTGAAGGTACAGGTACTTGCAAGTTCCCCGCAAGGTGGCATGAAGATACAACCCTGATCTTTACGTACCAGCAAGTGAATTCTTTGCCATCAATTCGGACATCCCCCCCCCCCCCTAACCCCGTCAGCCGTCGCTGATGGATGGAGCGTCGGTAAATTCTTGACATGTTCCTTCCATGTCTTTCCCTCTTCTTTTCTTGTCTCTTTATCTGCGTCATCTTCCACATCTAGACGTATGCTTCATATATCAGCTCTGTTCTTCGTTGCTGAAACTCGTTTAAAAAGGACCAAGTTTTCTGGATATCTTTACACCGTTTGAACTTACAATGCACGAACGTTAAGTTGTGATTTTATTTTAAATTCGAGACTGATACCGTATAAAGTACTTCTGATATTTATACTATAAACGTACCTTAAATATTCGTGTTCATAAAATCTGAAAACAAAGTAACAACGAAGTATAAGGAGAATTCTATTGATGAACCTTTAAGATGGAAGCGGTATGTTCGTCTGAAAATTGGTAACAATCACACGGTATCAGGTCGCAGAAGATAGTAATCATAATTTTCAACGTCGAGGTACCCTTAAATCTTAGTCATATTATTACATCTTAAAGCATTGATTCAAATACGGGATTTCTCGATTAAAAATCACAAATACCACTAATTTAGTTCGTTTCTCTAGGGTAATCCTACTTATCTGAGACAGAAACTTAATTTGAACTCCTATAATAATTCTGTGACCGCAAATATTTCGATGTGTTTTGGGGTGGAAGTTGTTTTTGAAAGTAAACTTTCTCTTTTATAAGTTTATCATCGTCTGATGAATCTGTTTTCAAAGTATATGGATTTTATAACAAACGCAGTGCTTAGGTATGTATGTTACAGTTTTTTCTCTTGACCTTGAAACAAAAAACATATGTTCTAAAACGAGTTTTATAGTGCGACATTAATTACACACCCCCAAGATTTTATAGTTCCCTGTTTCTAAAACAGGAATTCTTTGAAATTAATATTTACGTTATATGAAACTAAATATATCCACCATTCGCACACCAAATTATTTTCTGGACAGAAAAGAAAACCAGTTCCTCTCTGAACTTTCCACGATTCTAAACCGTCTGTACCGAATTTTAATATTAACTGTTTCCTATTAAAAATAAGTATACCTACTGCGTAATACCTCCATCTTTAGAGCTGAAGACAGACAGAATGCTCCTTAGAAGCCCTAATATCTACCTACATTTCCATACGGCGTTACAACCCAGAAAACCAACATCGACATATCCATCGCCTTGAGAACCTCAAATTTCGTATGATTTTAAAATAGTTTATTTTGAAACAAAATTTAAGTATATAAAATAAGACGAAGTCATCATTTAGGAAAGGTAAAAATTTTCCATATTTTTGAGAATACTTAATGAATATACCGAAACGTCGGTGACCTTTGAGGCGCTTAGATACGTTTCAAGAGACCAACTTCAACCCGCCTAATTACAAAAATAAGAGTTGGGAGTTAAAATTGATACATTAATAATATTTTGAAGTTGTTTGTCTTCTGGGTTATTGCTTCGTGTAGTCTGGTAGAAGTTTACAGACGTTTCAGAGGTCTTTGCTGCCTCCATCATCAGGGCGATAAGTAATCCGTGCCTTGAAAACCTAAAATTCTACGAAAATATTTTATTTTTTTTAAGAACTCAAGTATCACAAGACTTTTAATACTTAAGTACACTGCTGTACTAGGCTTTGGGAAAAAAGATTATAAACGAATAAAATAAAAATCTTTGTTGTTTATTTATCTTATTTTACAGTAGTACATATCTGAAGTAGCGAACAATATATCTTGATTTTCAAAGTAAATAAACGAGAAAGAAATTGAAGAACATTTCACTCGACATTCGTACAGAACAGGTACCATTATTTCCTACGTATCACATGTGCGATACCACTCTCACTATCCTCAGTTTAAACAAAACATCTACATGAACATAGTAACAAGGCTTCGTGTTATTAAGTGTTCTATTTTGTTTCTGAATCTGACATGTAGCCATTGTGAATTCATAATTTAATCTTGGGAACACAAAACTATCGATCTATCGATCCTACAACATAGTAGCCGAGTTCTTTTCAATGACACAAAAGACTTAGGAGAGTAAGTAATGTACTTCTTTGCCAGTGGATTGACCATCCGTAAAAGCAGAAGCTGATGTTACAGACCACATGTGTCAATGTATGAAAGTCGATAACACAGCGGCCTCCGTGTCTTTACTGCCTTCTTAAAAAGAAGAATAAGAACTACTAGCGATATATTTTCTCGTCACTAGAATGAATAAAAACAATAGAGGATCGAATCGCGTAGTTCTACTCTTGTCAGTAGAAAGATTATGGCATTCAGTCGCCTGTACCATTTTTTAAAAAAAAAAAATTAAGACATTCTCTTCAGATGTGTCGTCCAGTGCATGGCTGAGGACAATGAGTAGACAGAGAGAAGAATAATTCGGTATAAATTAGCTTCAAACACCGAGAATTTTCCAGCTTAACCCTTCCTTTATGTAATGAAGTTTAATCTACATCAGTTGTAATGATTCTGAAGGCATGTCCGCGGTCCTGAAACCTCATTTTTGGTGACTGGGAAATGGAGGTTGTTATGTTAAAAGAGAGTTTCTGCGTCTTACGTAAAATAAATATATTTTCTGTACTGTTACAGGAGACAAGCCGCATGCATGCGAGCTATGCCATAAGAAGTTCGCACTAGCCTGCAATTTGAGGGCACATATGAAAACACATGAGGGTGAGTGTGTACCAGATAGCAAGAACAGTCTTCTACATTTCTCTGTCGGCTAAATGAAACAGTTGCCCTGATACCCTGCAACGGGCCTTTACCTGGGGACACTTCTGGCTCGAATCTTAGTCAGCACACTAAATGTCCCTAGATCCTTCAAGGTTTTTCTCAGTCTCTTTAATTGTATCATGTCTTCAAACACACAACGACGTTCATAATTGTTATCCATTCGTCGTTCGTGACCACCTCCCCATTTTATTCGACTTTGTTATAGTTTATAAGATGGTAAAGTTACGTCATATTGTGATATAATAAGTATATATTTTAAATCTTGTCCGTCTAATCACAATAAATTCTTATTAAATATTAAAATATTACAATAATTAACATTTTAAAATATTTAAAATATTAAATGATGTTCTTTATCGAAATATTCGATTTATATTAGACCATCATTTTTTTCATGTTTCACGACATGTTTCAGTTCCTCTGTTTAGTTTACGTAATTAAAAAAAGTGTTATTATATAAAAGATTTGAGAAGTTAATCCCTTGTGACGAATCTGATATAATATCTGCGTTTGTTGTTGGTACTATCCAGATTTTAAACCACTGTGTCGCAAAAAATATGTTGTCTGTTCAAAATATAAAATTCAATGTCCGTCTAGCCGTTGGTGCGATGTAGAAAACATTAAAATTAATTTCTGACGGTGTCTGCTCTGGTATTGAGAAATGCAAACGGGATTATGATGACGCCTACGGCGGGGTATGGCGGAGTCTGCCTTTTTGGTGGAGTAAGGTTGCGTTTGGCAGTAAAATGGCTTCGGTCGACGTGAAAATATTTTTACATTTTAATTACTTACAAAGAAATTTCAGTGCGATTTGCATAAAGATAATGCAGAGATAAATCGTAACACTGTTTAACATTAAGAAGTTTCAATTATTTATTTTAATCCGTCTTATCACAATATTTAAAATTTCTTATAATTAAGATAATAAAATATCATTCATCTTCCATATCGATTGATCGATTTACATTTCGGAACATTTACACAACATGTTTCGGTTTTTATAAAACCATCATCAGGTGTAAAATATATCTAAGAACTTAAAACTCAATTATGATTTCTGTAGTTTTTTGGTGATGTTTTATTCTCTTAATTATAAGAAATTTTAAATAAAAATTATATTGTGATCAGACGGATTAAAAATAAATAATTGATATAATATTCACAATATGACGCAATTACACTATCTTATTAAGAAGTTTAATTTCAGTCAATTTTCACTAGTCACACGCTATTGCTGGCTTTTAAATAAATATCATACGTAGGCGTAGATTGACGGATAATATTAAAATGTGTCTTGGGAAATTATGTGTGAGAATATTGACTGAATTCATGTGGATTATGATAGGGACCGGTTGGCGAATTCTAGTAAACACAGAAATGAACAGTCCGTTGTTTGAACGCGTATCCATTAAACCTACAACGTGTAATCTAAGAATTCTTAGGAAGTGGACGGTAGGCAGGAACAAGCCTTACGTCGACGGGAATTCTTTGTTGTTGAGTTATAATGGGTCACGTGACGCCACATGCCTGCAGCCTGCAGGCTACTATGACCGCCAATCACCTGTGGTTAACGTGTTTTTGATTTCACCCTCGAGTCCAGACATCTTCTCGTAGAAATGTCATTTAATTTGGCCAAAAGCGAAAAAGCCAAGAGACACTGACGCCGATTACTATAATTCTAACTGGAAAATTGGTACTATGAGAGTTTTATCTTTTAAGATTTCTAAAACCGCGTTTGTGGCTGATGGAAATGGTTGAAGGAGGGAGACCATAAAAGGACATTGTTCTTTGTAATGACGTACACTGAAATTCTTTTGGCAGTGAAATAACGAGATGGTCGTTTGCCGTGGCATTGAGGGGGGGGGGGGGATTATTGAGGTCCCCGTCGTAGCAAAGAACTTTACTTAGAATGTTGTAGTCCCTTGGGGAAAATTCATGGCACGAACCTCTATCGTCGAATTCACTTGCGACCTGAAATCCAAATGATTCTTAAAATTATCAGAACGGTGTAGAAGCAACAGCGCGTGGTTTGATTGGAATAATTTAAACCTGGTCCTTTAAGACGTAATATGTTATGTACTTCCCCCACAAAGGATTACAAAAAAATAATGTAAAGTGGAATATTGTATAATTTTTTTATCTTATTAATTTGGTAAATGACGCAGATTTTAAAAAAAAAGGGGGCAAGGACATCCATCTTTAAATATCTTTGTCTATGTATTTGCATATAAACTTGTTAAGTTTGATACTCTCTTCCGAGCGACTTACAACTGCTGTATATGAACTTAAAAGACGTTCGACAAGCCAATGAAGTGTGTAACATCAGATAAAGCTTTCCAAGCCACGGCCCTCGGACTCCACGTTGCCCATGTGTTTCACCTGCTAGTCTGTGGTAAATTTAAAGCAAAGTTTTCCCTGGTATTTATTAAGAACCGTAAAAAAATTGCTTACGTGATAATTTTATAATTTCCTCCGTTAAATTTTATCAAGGGACCTTCTTAAATCTCGATTCTTCTTTTAAAAAAAAATCTCATGTATTAATCTTATTGCCCTCACGTTCAAATATATTTTGTTTTTGAACACTTCAATCCTTTGTTATTCCTGGGGTCACTTAACTTGAGAATGTAGTACATGGTCGCCACGTCTCGGTTTGCAGAACGGGGCGTCAGAGCATTTGTTCACCGCTCAAATAACATTCTGCGCGGTGTTCGCTCCATTGATATATGTGTATACTGCTCATAATGCACATACGAAGGAATTACGGTACTCCAGATCAGTGGTATTCAACCTTTTTTGTTCGCGTACCCCCAGATATAATTTCTCTTCAACTTTGTACCCCCCAAAGTTGTTGGTGTATAATTCGAGTTATACATAGTATACCCTCAAAGTTGTTGGTGTATAATTCAAGTTATACATAGTATATAATCTACATCTAAAATAAATTAAATAAATTACATTACTGATTATTCAGTGTTTATCATAAAATAATATATATTTGTTTAAATTTCATGTACCCCCTAATATGTCTTCGCGTACCCCCGGGGGTACGCGTATCCCAGGTAGAGTGTACCACTGCTCCAGACGGTAGAACGGTGCAGATCATACGCAGAACGAGTCATACAGATCTTTCTCCTACCTGAGATCCTTCCTTCAGGAGCCGTAGATAAGTAATGCAGGATCTCTCATGTACTAGACGGTCTCCGTTTTGCAGGTGATCCTCAGGAAGAATGCGTCCGCTGCGGAAAAGTCTACCTGACTTCCTCGAACCAAGTTGCTCACGGTTTCTGTGGACCTTGCTACGCGGCCAATCAAGGTCTTCCGCTCGTCAAGGAATCTTCACCGTCGTCCCTGAGGTCATGCGGAGATTCGGGCAGCGAGGAATCTTGCACCACGGGGACAGAACGTGACGAAGAGGACAGCCATCTTGAGTGAGCATTTCTAAGACTTTTCTCCTCTGCACAAGAAAGTGCAGGATACAGAAAGTATGAAGCTTCCAGAGTGAAGAATTTCCAACCCTGAGCACAGGAAGAGATTTCCTCTTCAGTAAAACGTGGACCAGTAAAACGTCGGCATGAAATGTGAAAACAGCTCAAAGACTTTGAGGAAGAAGTATTTCTGCAGTTAAGATGAGACATGACATATATTTTCATATTAAAAGTAATGAAGACATTTTTAAAATGTTTTCTAGAAATTATTAAAACAAAACTTGGCATCGTAAGTGGTGAGCGTCGAAGTTTTGTTTGAACAAAATTAACTGTTGTTTGCAGATTCGCTGAGTAAAAGAAAAAAACCCCGTATACTTCAGAGTGAAGAACGTAAGATCATTTGTCTGGGACATAATCTTACATTTAAATACGATATTCAGACAACTGAGGAACAGTTTCATGTCGAAACGTCTAAAGTGAAGTGAGCTGATATTTTTTTTTTCTGTTCAAGTCAGGAACTGCGCGATTTGACATTAAAAAAAACCCTTACACTTTCGATAATTTTTTTTGCATTTTTAAAAACGCGTAGTGTGGAACAATATTAAGATTTACAGACAAATATGCACAGGTAGAATTTGTACAATCTACAGATATTAATTAACGTCATTGTATTTAAGTGATGTGTTTCGAAGCCATAAAAATTTTCCTTAATAGACGTAACAATTTAACTTAAACTGTTCTCTGTTAAACTTACTGGCAAATCGATTAACGTCAGACTCTCAAAGAAATAGACTTTGGAAAAATGAAGGAGAAATGCTACGTTTGAATTCAGATTGTGAACTGATTCAACATAGTAACAAGAAACTACAGTGAGCCTGGTAACCAATGTGTTAAAATTATTTTCTTATACGTTTTTACATCGAAGAGAAAAATCCCCAAGTGTTCGTAGCAGGAATTAAAGGAAAGCATCTCGTTACACTTTAATAGAAATTCACATATCATGCCCTTCTCCCGTTGAGATTTGACGGGGTGCGGACATTTGCCATAAGACCACTCAAACTGAATGATGACGTATATTAATTCTGCAAGACGGATTTTCTAAACAAATCGTAAATAATAAAATAATTATGGAACATCTCATTTTAAGTAATTACGTCTATAAAAATGATATATTTAATACCTTTCACAGTGATTTCTAAGTAGATATGGGTACAAGAGAGGACAGCGTAGCATTTCAAAGTGACTTCAATACGTGGTGAAGAAGTTGAACTGTTACAAATTTCCTAACATTGCAGCCATAAAACCTATGGGTTGTTGGAACACTTTTAGGTGCCATCTTGAGTGGGCAGAGGTTGGGGAGGTGGGGGGGGCTGAAATTCAAGTGAGGAGAACAATACAGATGTCAGTACCATCGAGGTTGCGTAATTCGTGATGAAACATGTGTGTGTAATTGTAAAGAACTGAGATGTTACATTTGACGTGAAAGAATTTTAATGATCCCTCAAGCGGACATAAAGTGAGGCTGGTGAACCAAGATGGAAATAAAAATGGATGAAACAAATAGGAATACATGGGGCGAGTGTAGGGGTTATCTAAGATGATTAAGGAAATGTATCACCTATGTGTTAAAACAAACATGACAGGCATAACGTACTGAGGACAAAAGCGATGTAAGGGACGCTAGCAGTAGTGGAATCAGGTGGTGATCGTGTGTAAATGTATATTAATGACCTTTAACCTCGTATTTATATCAATTTTGCACCCACAAGATAAAAGTCTGAAATTAAACAACTTGCCAGAATCCGGAGTCAAGAAATCGACGTCAGAAGTCGAAAGGTGAAAGACGATATTTTTTTATGTGAAGTGATTTTACTTAGAAATTGTTAGTAAATCGATTGAAGACCCATTTCTGAGAGATGGTCATATCATTAATTTTTTTCTTTCTTTATAAATTCACGGAATATTTTTAGTACAGATATTTAAATACATTCTTAAAATTTAATTTGTGGGTTTTGGCTTATGACAGATAAGGTTACAGCCTTTTTATCCCAGGGGAAGGAGACGCCCGTGTCTGTTGGATAGGTCTCTCGTGGTCTCTGGAAAAGTTGTGGCGAATTTTACCACTCAAATGGCACTCAGTGCCGAGTTTTAGAACGTGTAAAAGTTTAATCAGTACTCGAGATGAATATTGCACTCAGAGAGGCCACAGTTTAAGAGACGAAGTGGTAAGTTTTAATCCATTTCGTATTCCTGATATTTTTCTATCTGGCGAGACAGATGTTTAGTTTCCGGCTACAACCGTCCTTAAGAATCTGGTAGAGTGAGGACTGTTTGTGTTCGTAAGTCCAAGCAGAAATGTCTTTCTTGAGGTGCTGGTGGTCTCGCGGTTTTGAAGAAATACAGCGACTTTTATAGACGCGAATTATTTCTTTAACGTGTTCAAAAGGGCCCGCCCGTAATCGTGACTGAGAAGAGTTTTGGTGAAAATTTTTTTTTTTTTTTTTGGAAAATCTTTCTTTTATCGTTGTCAGACAACATGGAATTTACGTAAAGAACCTTCAAGCAGATTATATGCTGAGCTGAAATAATGACGAGAAATAGAATATGTTACATTTTCATAACAGTTCACAGTTGTCATACGACCCGCCATATTGTGTCAAACATATTATCGTAATACAGAAATAATCGAGAGTGATTTTTTTTCTAAAAAAAGTTTTTAATTAAATTTATTTCTTGTTAAACTTGACAGATTTAATGATCTATCCATATGAAAACTAGGCGTTGTCACAGAACAAGTTCAGGAATTACACGTCGTGAAATGATTTATTGAATAATCAATATAGATCATAGATCATGCATTGTTTGTAAGATTTGAATTTCTCGCGACGAGGAGGACGTATTTGTACGACTCGAGAACTACTTAGATACCGTGGAGAAAGTTTAGCATAGCGTGGGATGCCCCCTGCACACAGAATAGTGTCCAGTCCTTTATACCATCGTCTGTCTGCTCTACCCACGTTTCATCTATGAGTTTTTGTCTTTTCAAATGTAATAAATGAATCAACATTTTATAAGCCTCATACTTGTAAATGTAACGAATTTTATGGACAATAGATTGTATCATCTAACTGTACGACGTATTTCAATCTTTGTTGGAACTATGGAAAAATTGTTTGTGAGTCTTACGATTATGTTATATTAACGACTCGATAAATCATTTCAAGATATATTCTTTGTAAAATTTTCTGACCGCCACTTGTAAAGTGAATTAAAGAAAGATGAGTTAACTTGTAAAAATTTACTTTAAGAGCGAGACATTTGTTTCGGCTGTTGTGCATAAGGCTGGCCAACGAAGGTGTTCCCACGCATAACAGACGACAAGCCGTTCCCGTGGTACGATGACCATGTAGGCGGTAACGCAGGGTCTGACTGCTTACAAATTTGACGAATATCTTAACGACTTGACGTTGATCGATTGAGGGGCTGTTCGATATCTCGCTGTCTGATCGTATAGGCGTGGGTGGCCGAACAATTATATCGCATGCTGACGGCTCCATCTGGTGATTCTGTTCCTTACAGCACCATGGACATTGCAGAATAAGTGTCCAGGCTTCGTCTCTGACGCAGGTACTTCTCCTCTTTAGTAAACAGTACACAGTTAAACCGTTTGTAATAGGCCGTGGCATGGTTCTTTATAAAATGTAGTATATAACCTGAAAATATAACGCTATGGGATTTTATTGTCATAAGAGCAGAAGCCCATAGAAATATTATTTACGAAATTCAGTCCGTACCGCGAAGAAAACACCACACTTCACCATTACAAAGATCTAAAATAATATTTTAAGAATCCAGACCGTACCGCGTAGAAAACACCACACTTCACCATTACAAAGATCGAAAATAATATTTTAAGAATCCAGACCGTACCGCGAAGAAAACACCACACTTCACCATTACAAAGATCGAAAATAATATTTTAAGAATCCAGACCGTACCGCGAAGAAAACACCACACTTCACCTCTGCCTTCATTTCGTGGTTAAAGTGTTCGTTAAGATGACTTAAAACGCAGTGCCATTAACTCCGATGCACTGCCTAATAATTCTAGTACAAAGTAAAGAAATTTACATTTGTTGTAAATATAATTCGAGCTGTTGTTGTTTTGTACAGATCAGTTAATTATAGGTTATAAAACTATTTAACCCCTTCACTGTTATATTTTGAATTATTGAAAAAATCCTTCAAGCCACTTTTTTTTCCCCCAAAAATATTGGTGTCATCCATTGCAGAAGTTGCCTACATTTTAAGAGTTCTGTACTTCAAACTTAGTACAACTTAAATCGTTCACACGTAATAAAATAATTAAAATTCGTGGACTGTGTGAAGAACTGAAGAGTATATTTGGGGGTACCGTACTTAACGAGTATACTCGGTTTTGTCAGTGAAGGGGTTAGAACACATTAACTTACACAAAGCGTAATAATTCCGAGGCATTTAAACATGGTTTCTGGAGCCTAAGTACATTTAACCTTTTTTTTTATAAAAGTATGTGATTAATATTTTGAAGAGGCGGGAGAATTTTCAGGTATCAGTTGTCAGACAAAGGTTTTTGTGTAAATATTTTATTTTCTTATCCTTCATAAGTCATATTATTATTTTATTACAGTTTTTTTATTTACAAAACTCATTTATATATGACATACAAAATATTTCATATACGAAACACACATTTGGCCTTTTTGTTCTAATGTCGTATCATTACACAGACCTCTCTGATTGTTGTTTACTTTTATACATGTGTGGTTAGGTTCTTAATAAAGATTTGTTTCCCTTAAGAAATTTGTGTATATATAATGCTCAAGGATTGGACGGTCTGTGTAGCATTACTCTGAGAATGTAGTACTATAAATATTTTTATTATTTTCTAGTCAAACTTTTTGTAATGTTTTGATAAATAAAATAAGCTTTTTGTATCAATTCTTATTATTATTTACGTAACATATATTTAATATCGCAGGACCTGTTTCACATCGTCATTTGTTACAGATACATTTTGGAGTGGTATTTTCATTCACTGGATGTGTTGACGACGTCATGCCTTTTACTTATAAACAGTCACCTACCTGATAGATACGACCAACTCAAAGGTCACAGTCCTTGAGAACCTAATATTCGCTCAGTTATTCAACGAAATCACCGTATCATACAAAAGACGAAGGTTTATTACCGTGTTTAACAAAATCCCATCCCTACCCTGAACGAGATAAATCCAGTTCATATATTCATATACATCTATTATCCATTTTAATATTATCCACGTAGTTTTTCTATCGACTGGTGTAATTGTGAAGTTCTAAGGACGCCACATTTGTTCCTGTATTATTACGGAAGTGTAAAGTTCTTTTGTGCTCACCTTGTATTAATATTTGCGTTACCAAAGACGAGACTGGAGATTATTAACTATGATTTCCGAATTTATTCGGTTTTTTTTTTTTTTTTTTTTTTTTTTTTTTTTTTTTTTTTTTTTTTTTTTTTTCTTCCCTGATATAATCTAGGTTCTAGATTTCTACAGACCATAAATATTCTTTTGGTTGACTGTACATTTTCTAAGAGCTTTATGTATTTATAACACGTATTTGAAACCATTCATGATGGCTGGTGACCTCACTGGCATTAATCGTGGTATTTCTTAGCCTGTCCAGTCGAGTGTCAGGATAATACCTTTTATTAATCCGCGATCTTCTATTTACAATTCTTATCTATTCAGTGATTATTTCCCCATCTCAATACAATACAATATCTGCAGTTATAAAAACAATAATTATCGAAGATATATTGATTATTTATTGTGTTATAATACATCGTGAACTCAGTTCGAAACACAATTATCCATGACGTTTTGTTTTATTTCATTTGCAGTTCATAAGTGGCAGGATCTTCCCTGTATCAGTTACTGTCATTTGTTTCCCACGGTAAAATTTCGTTGAGGATGTAAATAAGATGCCTCCATGTGGAGAACAAAAATTGATTTACAGTTCACATGACGTCACTTGTGATCCTAATACTCGATTTCAGCTGATTAATATTTATATTCTTATGTAAAGTAATCTCTGTAATTGTCCGACGTGTATGAAAATGTGATTGGTTCGACAGTTTTCCGTAAGGCTTTCATATATCAAATTTAAATAAAGTCGTTTTGCCCGTTCTAGAGTTGTTTCATGCGCACGGTGAGATATGACCACGATGACGTCACGTCTCATGCGAATGAGCACACTTTACTTACACTCACTACGGTTGTTTGTGTGCGCGTGCGTATGCAGTCTATTGAAAATGGCGGATGGATATAGGAGGTTTAATGTTAGTGACTGAACAACTGAGGATTTTCTTTGTGATAGAGATTAAGACAGTTGGAGAATCGTGTGAATTTGATTTTGAACATAGTGAACATAAATTTGAAGACAGTAAAATGTCTGGTGATAGTACATTAATTAAATAATCTACACGTTCCATTAATCAAAGAGGGACAACTTGTTCTAGTGACAGAGATATAGCAAAGGTTTGTTAAACAGTTGTCAGCGTGGTGAACGTCCATTGTGATTAACAGTGCTAGGCGAAAACATTATTAATATTGATATTAATTTAACAGATTAGCATGAATCAGCTGATTTTATGAGGTTAGGAGAGTGACAGGGTGGTTCACAAACATAAAACGTATCATATAAATCGAAACTAATTAATTCCAAAGAAAATATCTGCTACATCGTAAAAGTGTGAACTGTGTGTGGACAACATCATCCTACGGCTGTCTTTATCCTGTAAGATGAATTCAGGTAAGGCAAAGTTATAAGTAAAATTATTTACAGCAAAAACCTGGTGTTGCCAATATTCAAGAATTTTGTTTAATGCTTCCAAACAGACACATTTATGGACTTTTATAAAAATTAAATTTTTATTCCAAAAGCAAACGGAACTAATAGACGTAGTTTGTGGGCCGAGACATTTACTTCTAATATGGATGGTACACATAGTTACCGCTACACTATTATATACATTTTATGCATTCAAATTTTATTCGTAGTAGTTTGTAAACTTGAATTTCTTTCAAAATTGCTCTCTTCTGCTGTGTTGTACAGTGTTCTGTCGACGTTTCGAGGGAACTTACTACATCCATCATCAGGATTATGATGGATATAGTAAATTTCTTTGCCTCGTCCGATTTATTTATTTATCTTTTTATATTTTCTGTATCAGAATGTTAATAACAATCGATATTTCAAGAACAATAATGCTCTCTTCTGAATTTCAAAATGAAACACTCTAGATGATGGTAGTCCCGAATAGAGTTAAGTTCAAAGACTCTACTTTTTCTTAATTTAAAACCTGAAGAAGGTTGCAGGAATTGTCTCCGAAACCACGAAATTTTTTTAACTTGAACACAGTAAAATATTCATAACTATACTAAGAATTTTTATCCCCATGGAAACCATAAATATAATTAGATATTTTCTTATTTATTAAACAAAAATT